AAAAAAAAAAAAAAGAAAAGGTGCTCAATTTCATTATTAATCAGGAAAATGAGATCTAAAACAATAATCAGCTATCATTTCATACTTTTGTAATTTTTACCTGTAAAAATTAACATTTTTTGTGAATAAAAGAAAATGGAATTATATTACTGCTGTTGGAATGGAAGTCTCATCACTTTGTGGTTATCTCACAGTATCTTTATGCCTAAGTATATTAATACTCTTTGATTTGACAATTCTGTTTCTTGATATCACCTCAGAGAAAGACTTAAATGAATGGATAAGGAGGCATGTGTAAGAATGTTCATGGTATCATTGTTTGTAACAATGAAAAATTGGAAACAGTAGGGAATGACTATACATTGACATATTTATATAATGTGATACTAAACAGTCATTAAAATGAAGTAGATCTGTGTGTATCAATCATGACAGTTTAATATCAAGTAGAAAAACAATTTGCAAGAGGAGATTTGGTATTATTGCCATTTATGAAAATGTTAAATACAACAAAAATGCAATATATATATATATATTTTTTTTTTAAAGATTTTATTTATTTGAGAGAGAGAAAGTGAGAAACAGAGCACAAGTGGAGGGGGAGGGGCAAAGGAGAGGGAGAAACAGACTCCCCATTGAGCGGGTAGCCCAATGCGGGACTCGATCCCAGGACTCTGGGATCATGACCTGAGCCAAAGGCAGATGCTTAAACGACTGAGTCACCCAGGTGCCCCAATGCAATATATTTTTAATTCATACATGTATAGCAGAATAAAAATATGGACAGGAGAAATACACACCAGTTTAGGGTGAGAATTACCCAGGAATGGAGAGAGATTAATAGAATGCTTAATAGTCTCTATAATTTTCTATGTGCTTGAAATATTTCATAGTTTAAAAAAATTTAAAAACTTAAAATTACTTCCTTTTCATACTCATAAATATTTCACTGAATTAAATAGCTAACTTTTCCAGTGTTATCAACTGACCACATTAAACCCTGTTTTGTTACCACCCTATTACACTTCGCAAAAAGTGAAACAGCTATCTTGTTTATGCATTATCTGTTGACTTTAGCAAGCCTACAAACTCAAAAACCTTTTTTACTAACCTTCTATTCATGATAGCACAATCACAGAAAGGAAAAAAAATCTATTGCTGCATAAAGTTTTTTTTTCTTTTTTTAATGACCTCATTCCATATTGAAGCAGTGAAAAGAAAATTGAATTTCACAAATGTTTTTTTAAATGAATAGTTTATATTCATGACATCTATTCTTTAGCAAACAAAATCAAAAGAAATTCTCTAGTGTTAGTTTGTTAAACATTAAATTTATTGAATATTAGCTTGGCTTTTAAAAGTCTTATTAATTTAATTTTAAAATACTTTTCATTTATTTGTTTATGCCAGTTAAGTTCAGACTGGAACATTTCTTCATCTGAGGGAATGGTTCCCTAGTACCTCATCCTCATATCCAAAATATGTACACCAAGTCTTGGAGCTAGATGTATAATTCATTTTCTGGATAGTTGAAAACCTAAGAAACCAAAGGGAAGAAGGATTTTACAAGATGAGGAAGTTATCAGATATTTTATGTTCCAAAAGTTCTTTTATTATAGAAGCATTAACTAGAAGTTCCTGGAATGAGTTCTATTCCACTCAAGTATTTTGCATTCCATTACAGTATTTACTTACAGAAAATCTTGGAGTGACGATCCTTTAGCATAGAAATTTGAGGCAGGGGTATTAAGAATTAGAAATGAAGATTAACTGTCTCTGACATTGAGGTAATGGAGAAATTTTCCCATTCACCAAAATACAATATTTTTCAAGAATTCCCTTGTGACATAAAATTAATGACATCTACTTTAAAAAAAACATTACTGTTCAGTGTTTTAAGGCTATAATTTAAGAAACCTAGATCTTCTTTAGGTTTTTCTGTTATTCAGCTTACTTTATAAGTCTGGCAGATCTGAATTATTTTAATGGGGCTTTGAAAAATGTTTGGTTCCATTTATCTTCCAGATATCTTGGTTACATTAAGCATCTTCAAACATCTGAAATTTGTTAAAAAATTTTATATGCCCTATTTCCTTTTAAGTACTTCACATGTCTGAATTAACAAATAAAACCTTCCCGGAAAAGTAAATTACTCACAAATATAATTAACTTTATAAATAGGATGAGCCATAAGTTGTCTTAAATATTCCAGTGCTGTTTATAAACTTAAGATTTAAAATCACAGGTATCAATCAATTAATTAAGTAATTATACACTCTAAATAGAAGTCAAAGGCTGTCCGATAATCCCTGAGACCCACAGTCTTTTCTCCCACTCTTACTACTAATAGCAACACCCATCTTCCCAGCACTGGTAATTTGGGAGCATCTCCTATCCTTACTCTAGCTTCTCATGCTACCATCTTGAGAAATCCTATCTTATTCTTTAATGCAAAGATTGTATCTCACTTCTGTGACAATGACACAGTTATTTGAGTTGGCTTAGGGTAACTACTTCTGTTTCTGTGTTTCCCATAATATGGTTAAATCTTTCTTTAGTTTTTTGTTACAACCAAGACCATAGAGACTGGAGACTTTCCAATTCTATTTTTGCTGGTAGTAAATGAATATAATGATGATAATGATTTTTAAAAGGCACTATGATGCTCATGATGATAAATACCCTTGAAAACTTTACAGTAGGATATGTATTTGTTTGTGTTCTAGGAAAGTAGGATAGATAGAGCGATATTTCATTCATTTACTCACTTATTTTACAAAAGGCCACAGAAGGAGAGGAAAAAGCAAGTAGAAAATATCAGTGAGCAATGGAAAAAGAAGCCATTAACTAGAAAAAATTGAAACCTAGAAAAAATTAAGGTTGAGCTCATACTACCTGACATACTTTCTTGTCATTTGTGGGGTGAGTCAGTATCTTTTAAAATATAAATTCTAGAGGTAAATATATTTCAACTTCCATACTACTTCTGATTATTTGGTAGTGCTGTCTGGGTGTGAGGTTGAAAATAATTCTGAAACATGTTCAATCTCAGTAGAAAAGAGTATCACATTGGCAAGCAGTGTCTGTCACTGACATTGGAAGGGAAGCATACATGCCTTTTTTGCAGTTCTCTACAGGCTTTGGAGGACAATCTAGAAATGTTCCAATATGGGGGCAAATGAGGATGTGTTGAGAGCAGACTATGTAGATGTAAGGGGTTTCTGGGAATAGCACACAGCCTAAGCTTGAACGTGGTTATTGTCAATCAAGGTAGTCTGACAGGAAGTAATGGAGATGCAGCTGCAGAGCCTGCTGTCACCAGGCCAGACTCTAGTTTATGGTATAGTGGAGAGAGGCAGGTCGGACGGGCATGGTGCCAAGACAAGGGCTCAGGAAACAAGCTAAAAGCCCAGTTATTGGGTCTGAGAGATAAAGTGAGGCCTTGGTTTTAAACAAGGCAACAATCTAAGAACTATGATGAAAGGTCAGAGATGAACAACAGTAAGTCTTACTTGATGCTTAACTGTTGAGCTACTGACCCAGAGTGATATAAATCCCCCCATCATAGCCTGGAACCAAAATGAGGAGGTAGTTGGGAGATAGGGTCAGCTACGTAAATTCTATTACAGAGAGGAAATCCATCAGTTCCTCACACGCTTATTCATTTGCCTTTTTGCTTACACCAGCATCTCTTTTATTAGAGCTTATACTCAAGGCTGATTCTAATCCACCACAAAGGATTTAGAGCTATGGAAAACCCAAGTTAGAAGTGTGATGTTCTTAGTATGTTTATCATGGCACATAGTGGTTAGTTTATAGTAGTATAGCACAGGTAATAGGTTAAAAATCATTTCTGCGGGCTCACTTGGGATCGTAAATTCCAGATACAATTTTATTTGTGTGGGTAGGAAACTCCATTTTCATTAAGCCCATGATGTTCATACCATCTATTTGTAAATGAAGAATGCCTCTGTCACTCACCAGATTGTTGCTTTGGCAGCATATGTATAGAAGACAGGCAGGTATATTTTTTAAATGGAAGGAAAGACCAAGCTGTATAATCCTAAATTGAATAATTTGTGTTAGAAAGCAAACATCATTAATCCACTTCCACTAATTTGAATTTCTAATTGCCAAGTTGGAGCCAGTTAAGGTGTTATTTTATCTATTTAAGAAAATTTGATAATCCAGTTAAACAATTAAACAAGATTTGTTAAGTATACTAAATCCATTTTAAAAAGCAAATCATTTTAAGTCTTGTCCTGTAAAATGTTGTATATACGTGAATACTGCTAATTACATGTAAGTTTTATTAAAGGAGATAAACAGATATTCATCTTCACAGGTCCTTGAAGTTTATATTTATTTCAAAATTTTTTATTATTTGGATTTCACAGCTCAAGACTGAGCTTCCTTAATTGGTTGTCTTGAGATAGAAAGAGAGGAAGAAGGAGAGAAAGAGAGAGAGAGTTTGTGTGTGTACGTGCCAAAAAATATTTAGAAATCACAGAAAGCTTTGACTTTATCATTCTGTCCTCCCGGCCCCATCAGGTTCTTACCAAACCTTGCAAGGTCAGCATTAGAAAAAAACCTGGCAGATGCTGCAATAGAAGTAAGTACTGATAATCATCAGGAACCAGAACTGGAGGATTACAAATGTAAGTATTTGACTTGTTTCTTTTTTTAGTGAAATAATTATTATCAAACATTTGTATGATTATTTTAATATCAATAAAAAGTGGTTTTGTTTTCCATCTACTTTGTTTTATGTATTGGGTTGAAGAAATCAATCTTTTATTTATTAATTTTTAAATTGAAACCCACTTACAAATTAAATCTTAGAATATTTCCTTTATTTGCCTGGGTGGCTCAGTTGGCTAAGCATCTGCCTTCAGCTCAGGTCATGATCTCGGGGTCCTGGGATCATCCCTACTTAGCGGGGAGTCTGCTTCCCCTCTCCCACTACCCCTCCCCCATGCTCGTGCATGTGCGTGCGCACTCTCTCTCAAATCTTAAAAAAAAAAAAAGAATATTTCCTTTATTTCAGTGCATACCAGATACAGGTCCTCCTCCAAAGAGTCACAACTGACACAAACATATTCAAGGCTCTGAGAATTCCTGCTCTAAAGAAACTTGAATGATTTGGTTTTACCTTTTTTTTTTTTTCCAAATATATGTCACCATAGAATCTAGAATTCTGCTTTCTTTGCAAAACATTTACATTTTGAGGACCACTAGTTCTGTGGGATATGTTCAGGAAACTGTTCTAGGTTGATGTAAAATAAAATAATATTCAGAGTACCATTTCATGCCTTCTTACTCCTTCCATTTCTATTCATATTGTCTTTTGTGGTACTTTTCTTCTGGATAACCATACGTATTTTGAACTTTGGGATGGTTTAGCTCTTCCTATAGAAGTTCCTTATTCTTCAATTAGAGCACAACGAAAGTTTCTCTACTTTTTGAGATAAGTACCTATTCTATCAAAAATCCAATGTGGGACCCCCTCTCTAATGAGCACTTATTGTGGCTCTCTTTGTGGTAGGTGTTTTTAATAGTTGGGGCTACTGAGACAAGAATTTGGTGTTAAATGACATGACTTTTTTTTAAGATTTTATTTATTTATTTGACAGAGAGACAGAGAGCACAAGTAGGCATAGCAGCAGGCAGAGGGAGAAGCAGGCTCCCAGCCGAGCAGGGAGCCAGACGTGGGGCTCGATCCCAGGGCCCTGGGATCATGACCCAAGCCAAAGGCAGCCGCTTAACCAACTGAGCCCCCAGGTGTCCCTGAGATGACTTTTTTAAGAGTAAAATTAAAAATTCCACCTACTGATGGATCTGGGTCCAGATATGCAGAGCCAGGTCAAAGAGACAGAACATTACAAGTCAAACTTATAACGTTACTTGACTGAATCTCTTAACATATCCAAAGACGAACTGAGTTGTTCTGACAATAGATTGTTCAGTCTTGGTAACGGGCCAGTGTCAGCAGTTCCCATCTAAGCCTGGCGTAGGGGATAAGGAACCCAAGAGACTGTTGACTCATCTGGTTCCCTTTATCTCTTGAGGAGAATTCATTTAATGTACTCTCCTTGTTCAGAGGACAAGGTTCACCAAATAACCTGATGAAGATTTAGCTTTCTGTGTAGTTCTCCCTCCAGATAATATGCTGGCATGGCAACCAGTGTATCATAGGGTCCATATGAAAGGCGCAGCTTTCATTACACTGTAATATTTTCAATTCTTGTTTTATATATCAGAATTTATATATAGATCAGAATATATGTCTTTAATATTCTCCTGAGAGTCAGGTTTGTGGTCAGTTGACATGACAAAATTAGGTTTTGAGTATACCAGACTAAGAACCTTGATGAATGGACTAAAATACTGCCATCCTATGAGATTTCTTCGCAGACAGCTAGCAGGTTTCCCCCAGGGAAGTACAAGCATCACCATCCTCTGAGTGCATTTCCCTTTTCAAGCTTGAAATTTTAACAATAAACATTAGATGAGTGAATTAAATTGTCCTGAAGCCCTAAATTTACTGAACAGATGTGTTCCATAAACTAAACCATAGATGGTATCAGATGCTACTTGAATCTGAAATTTTGTTTGTCATCTTAACATACAAGCATATAGTAAAATTCCTGCCACAATCCTGGTCTTTGTCTGCACAGTTTTGTATTGGGTCTGTTTCAGAGACCCTGCTGGTAGTAAATAAACAGTAGATTCTCAGCATGACAGCTTATAGGTTTTCTTCCCTGTGGAACTTGTAAATAAAAGGAAAATGGCAAGGATCTATTGGAGGGAGAGGTCTCCTGTGCTTTGGCAAAAGTGTAGCACTGAACACTGATTAAACAGGGTGACAGTTTAATTATTTTTAGCTCAAAATCGTTCGTGGTACTGCAGAATGCAAATGTTGCTCTTCTCCACTTGTCTTTCAAAATGCTTTAGCACAAAAGGGCAGTTTTCTTATTTGAAGGGTGGCAGGGTGGGAAGGTGGTAGATGGGTCAGTTGTTTAAGGCATCATGATAATCTGTCTGCTTGCTCGGGTATTTCCACAGGATGGAGTATTATTTGGAGTCAAAGGATTAAACATACCCTACTTGGCAGAAAGAATATTAGACTATACTAAGTTCTATTTTTAGCTCTGTCCATGTTAGCTGGGTGGTTGTAAGCAAATTACTTAATTTATGTCCTTAGCTTCCTCATAGTTCTTGTCTCATTGTTGAGAATTACATGAAATTATATGAGAAAACAATGAAGCTTCTGGTTTGAGATCTGGCCCATAGAAGGTCCTCAATAAATGATAGTTTCTATTGTGATCATCAGTACTATTATAAAAACTACTACCATTAATGTTATGATTATTAACCATGGAGAGAATGTATATGAGATGTGTTCCTTGACTTCAGATTTATTATTAGGTTTGCTGGCTGTCAGGAACTCATATTCTATTCTAGACCAACTGTTTAAAGCAAATAGGAGATGACACAATAGTAATCATCACAGAATAGCTGTGTAACACCTGGGGTGCTTATTTGAAAATACAGATCTCCTAGACCATCCCTGGAAATCATAATTTCAGAGGTCTGGGGTAGTTGATTAATCAGTATTTTTTACTAGAATTCCAGGGGGTTCTCACTTGGAGTTTTTCAATGGGTGGGTCCCCCAAAATGATATTCAGAGTACTTCAGAGCTTTTGAATGTATATTTGGTTTGTTTTATGTGTTATAGTCTCTGACAAAACAAGCTCATGGAGGTGGCTTAACGGAGTTCTGGGGTTCTTCTCTAATTGTATCTCTGTTGTTTGCTAACATGCATTATTTTATATAAAATTAGTTATCTTTTAGACATTTTAGGCATTTTATGTAGAGCTGTTATGTTTTATTACCACCTTCAAACTTACTTCTTTTAGATATTAAATTGAAATTCCTTAATGAGCCCATAAGATATTAAAGATGCTATGTTGCGTTATGTTCACATTGGACTTGGCTTCTCTGAGCACAGTGCTACGAGTAATTCTTCGTCCTGTGTGAAATGTTTAGGTGAAACAGCATCTGGATCCCTGAGGATTGGGGCTGTTAGTGCACTGATCTATAATGCCCATGAGAAAATGAAAGTGCCTGATGTTCTGTTCTATGACAACATTCAGGTAAGATCATTGCTTTGCATTTATGAATAAATCTCCTCTTACATTGTGGTAATTAACTCCACAATGAAACTGTTGTTTAATTATTTTTGTAATTTGCTAAGTTCAATTCAGATGATGCCAAATGAAGTGTTGACACATCTTTTATTAAGGCATTGTAAACTTTTAAATTCTTTCCCAAGACACTTGAAAATTGGAAGAGTTAATACTGTGATTAGGGTAATATATTTTATATGTGCACATGCTCTAGACTCCAGGTAAATAAAATGAATATATCACTAAACGAAAAACAAAATGAACTAATACTCATCCTCTCTTTTGCTTTCCTGTTAAATTATTTCAGTAGTTCAAAGAGAATGTATCCTGTGCATTCTTTTCTACATATTCCTTTCCTTTTCCTGAAAATTCCTAATATTTTTCTCTTGTTCACTTTTCCTTTTTTAGGAGGAAAGTAGATAATTTCTCACTTGTAAACTAACCAATAATTATGGACCTTCCACTAAGACACAGAAATAAGTGTATATCCAGAAAGCTTTTCTATAGATGTTCACTTTAATAAGAATGTTTTCCCAGAGAAAATTACCCATAATGTAGGAGTTTTTTCTTTTCCAGATTTTATGTTAAGTGGTTATATATTTATTTTATAAAAAGAAACATACTAAAATTTTTCTCTAATATTTGGTCCCTAATCTGAATGTAAATAATAACCTTATATTAATAATGTTGGAAGAACTTCTACTTACTATTTTTTTTAAAGATTTATTTATTTACTTTGAGAGAGAGAGAGAACACATGAGCGGAGGGGGCAGAGGGAGAGGGAGAGAATCCCAAGCAGACTCCTCGCTGAGTGCGCAGCCCCACCTGGGGCTCAATCTCACGACCCTGAGAGCATATCCTGAGCTGAAACCAAGAGTCGGACACTTAACTGACTGTACCACCCAGGTGCCCCACTTCTTACTATTTTTACTATATTAAGGAGTTAGAAAAATTAAGCTTTTTATCCGCCATTTCCCAATCATATTTGTTGTTCAGTGAGTACCATAATTTATATCCCTACATTATATTAGCAGTATAGAAGGTATCTGGGCAAATTCTTCTTTCTCAATAAAAATCTTGATCCAGTATTTTGAAATCTGTCAAAACTGTAATTATTACCTATGAAATAGGCAAAGACATAACCTGGATTTGTTTTGTATCCATTCTATAGCCCATTAACTAATGTAAGTTTTACTTCTCTTCCAGAGCATTAATGCTCTTACACAAGCAGTGGACAAATGAGCAGACAATAAAGTTACTTTTAAGACACAAAGAAGGAAAACAATCTTGCCTATCAAAGAAAGACAAAAACACGATTGTAAGGAAAATAGACTATTTCCAAGCACTGATGGTATTGTGTTCTGCCCATGTGGTGGAAAGGAATAAAGAAAAAAGAACCAGGAAACTTTGTTATAAGAGACAATTTGAAAAACCCCATGGTAGCAAAGGTTGAAAAGACCTCCCAGCATTTGAGAACGTAGGAAATTCAGTAGCAGGGAGAGCCACTGTGCCCTTGAACACAGTGTCTGTTGCCATGGTGTTTGTGACATGGACAGTGAGGACCGCAGGGCTGCTGTGAACTTTACATAGTGGCCCTGAGGGACTTGCTGTCGCCTGTCTCCAGATGTACCTTTGCTTCATAAAGCATCATGAATTAACCACTAATGAAAAATTTTAGCTGTACCAATTCAAGGAACCGTGGCTTTGGATTACATTTGCTTTTGTTGCATATGTTATGATTTCCTTTTAGTCTGTACTTCCTTTTGAAGCAGTAGTCTTTGGTGTCTCTTGAATATTTAGGGGCTTCTCTACCATCTCTTCTATGTCCTGTGGTCCCCTTGCCACATGGTATTGAAATCGATTTTTTAAATGTGTTTTCCACACCACTAAAGTAAAGTCTGTTTTTCTTTATTTTGAGTCTTCAGCAAATAGCATGTGCTTGGCAGATAGTGAATGCTGAGCAAGTATGTGGTGAGTGGATTAATAAAGAAGGAGTAAGATTTTGAATGTTTATAATGAGGCTATTGTTTTATTAAATCTGTCATTAAAGAATGTTATATAGTAGTAAGGAGAAATTGGAAGAAAGAGAAAGCAGTAGCCTCTTTTTTTTTTTTTAAAGATTTTATTTATTT